AAAGTAAGTTCATATGTGAGTAAAGGCAGGTGAGTGAATACTTTTGGCAATATAGTGTATATGCATGCTGGGGAATCCAGAAAAGCTGAAAGGGATGTGGGGTTGAAAAGAGGCTTGGCTGTACACGGAGAGCCAAGCATCCACATGAAGATTTCAGAAAGGAGGACTTCTGATAAGCATGTTGATCTCACTCATTCGCAGAAACCTAATAGGGGTAAAAAAATGTGCGCACATCATCTACACATGATGCCTTATTGTGGCTTTCCATTATTTAAATAAATTTGGGGCCTTTGAATCCTGGCAACTTGCCTGGACAAGCCCATGCCTCACCACGGCCAACTCGCCGCAGCCAACTCAACATTGGCCAACTTGGCGTGGCCAACTCGCCACGGGACAAGAGTTACATCAATATTGAAGAAATGGTGGAAGCACGCCAAAGGAGGGAGGAGAAATGAAACGTGAATGACAAAAATTAAAATAATTTTTTTTAATTCAACAATTCAGTTTCATTACGGTTCAAATCTCATCGGCTCAAGGTTGACTCAGCCTTCCATCCTTCCGAGGTGGGTGAAATGAGGACCCAGACTGTGGGGGCGATATGCTGACTCTGTAAACTGCTTAGAGAGGGCTGAAAGCCCCATGAAGCGGTATATAAGTTTAACTGCTATTGCTATTGCTACTTAAAATATTTTAAAAAAATTTATTTTAAGTAATTAAACTGAATTGTTGAATTGTCCCACAGCAAATTGTCCCGGGTGAGTTGTCCCCACAACAAGTTGGCTGCAGTGAATTGGTTGTGGTGAGTTGTTCCATTTTGCCCACAGGAGGTTTAAATGAGACATAAGGGGAACCATATCCCATTGGACAAAGTGTGACACACATACACACCCCTTCACTTAGGTTTCAATATCTTTGTGGCTGAACAAGTGGGCAGAAGAGGCAGGGCCTTCTCAGAGTGGCCCCAAGCCTTGGTCAGCTGATGTCATGGAGATTAACACCCTTCCCCCGCCATTCAAGACATTATAATTTCTACCAGGTACTATAAGGTTTAGTTCAGCCATTGCTTACTACATTGATTTGGACGTAAAATATTTTGAAGAAAGCTGCAGGGGGAAAATACCTTGATGTAAGAAAATGCTGGGTAATTCCTCCTCTTCCTCTTCATCCTTTGACTCTGGGCTCGGACTCACATTCCTTACGGGACTCAGCTGCAGTGAAAGATCAGATGCCTGATCTGCTAATGAAGGAACACCGTGCCGATTTCAGTTTTACAAGTACAGCATTGGATATTGCACTGACAAATCTCAAAGATGGGCCGGGAGATAACGGCACAATGAGTACCTGCAGGCAGTCCTCGGCTTATGACTGGGATGGAGCCCCTGGATTATGGTCTAAGTCATTGCTGGTTATTAAGCGGATCACCACGTGACTGTGCCCAATTTTATTATTTTGTAATTGTCAATCGTTAAGCGAATCCATTGTCTGAAATTGCCTTTTTTTTTGCCAGATATTGGAAGTACCGTATTTTTCGAAGCATAAGACGCACTATTTTTCCTCCAAAAAGAGGGTGAAAATCTGAGTGTGTCTTATACACTGAATACAGCATTTTTGGCCTCCTGAAACCCTGCCCCTGTGCATTCCATTTTTCGCAAAAATGGACGTGCAGAGGGTTTGGGAGGCATGCAAAGTGCTCCTGGGGCTGGGTAGGGCAAAAACGAGCAAAAAAGGGCTGTTTTTTGCAGTTCCACCACAAATCCGCGAAGCCCTTATCCGCGGAGACATAAGCGTGAAGATTAATTCACGCCGTTCGAAGCGCTAAGAAAAAACGCGACCCTACCG